GATGATTGGATGCAAGTACTGTAGGCAGATCAAGTTACAGAAATTAGATTTTTATTCCCTACGGAGTATAATTTTAAAATTTTTAATTAATTATACAGTTAATATAATTTTTTATTATTTTAAAATTTGTATAACTTTTACTCATATTTAATCCTGTTAAGTATTTAGTTTAATAAAATTTTAGATTAGATAGATAATTTAGTTTTTAATGTGAATAAATGGTATATCCTTTTAAAATATATAATAACTAAAATTACTTAACCTTGCCTAATCATTATATTAATTTGGATAAATTATAATCAAATCTATCTCATAGGAAACAAATTCAATTTTAATATAAAATGAATTGCAATTCAAATAAAAATTTATCAAATTATATAATATATATATATATATATTATAATCTAAATAAATTTAAAAAATTAAAGCAGGAATAACAAACAAAAAATATGTCAGGGTAAGATTTTAATTAATTTTAAACTAAACTCTAATCAGTTCGAATTTAGAAATAAAAACTTCATGTAAACTCAATCTGATTATATACATAATACATTTTTTTAGATTTAATTAGATATATAATATAGACCAAGATGTATTTAATAGGATCTACTAGAAAACTCAGTTTGGATCAAGAACATAGTAGATTCGGTAAATTTTACTAAACTTACCGCGAACTCGGCATGTTGTCATCCTTTAGCAAATTACTTACTCACCAACCAATTCTACCATTCATAAACATTCCACATATTGTAAGAGATGTGATTTGGGGCAATTGAATGCTTGATCTGTGTAGAAAAAATTGGCTTCACCATCATCACCTCTAAACAAAAGCCTATTCATTTGAAACCAAGAGGCTTTTTCTTCTTCTAATTTTGTTGTAAATTGTCTAAGACATGGTTCAAATCTGGATTACCTCTATATAGCAGATTTGAATTTGTAGTAAAATCAAATCATACTGTTAGGTTCAAATGAAAAAGAAAATATACATTTTTATTCCGCTGAAAATGAATCTGGACATAAATATAATCTTCAACTAAATTGGAAAAAATTCTGAATTACAGTTATAGCAGAAACGTTTCGGAATCAATTTAAAAACCTCGTTTAAGCTCAAAGTATCCGCAAGAGCTGTACCTCAAATACCAAAGGTTCGTTGGCATGAGAGAAGAGGCTACGACGAGGGCCAAACTGCAACCAAACAACTACCAAGTATTATGATCTTATACGTATCATTAACAAATAAAGGAAAGGTAACAAGGAATAAAGTGCGTAAGATGAGGAAAGTTCAGGTGCTAGGGGGTTAAGCGCGAAACCTCTTCAGGGACTGGCTTCAAGTTCTCGTTTACATATCCCACAGACGGAGGTATCAGAGCTCTACGTTTTCCTGGAAATAAGTCATGCAATCCGTAAACTCTATTTCGTGATTAAAAATAATAATAATAAACAATCAGATCAAAACAGAAAAATAAGGACAAAAAGAAAAAAAATTACTGGGTTCAGTCAGATTACCTATTCTAGGGAAATAGATTTGATTACAAGAACAAGTTCTAAATATTACAATGTATATTTCTCTCTAAAATTATAGCACCAATACACTCCAATTTCTAAACAACAATAATCTTGAGAGTAGAATACATATATACCAGAGTTCCAATTAAAAAAAAATTAATTGAAACGTACCACTCCCAGATAGCATATCTCACGTGACTTGTCCGATCACCAACAGAGGCAGATCATATCACAGACACTACAAAAATGAGCTCAATTCTTGTATGTTAAGGGATACAGTTTTTCTATCCCTATCCAAAGAGGATAGAGGCTAAGAAGCCCCTTGATTAACTCATTATATGCTATTGTGCGACTGAATAAAACTATAATGCAATAAAATTGAAGCACATCTCATGTGAATAGAAGAAGAAGGGAGCAGCCGGAAGGATGAAGAGATTTAATGCATGCAGATATAAAATCCTAGAAACCATTTTCCTTTCTCAACGATGTATCTAGCTTCCAAGTGACTCCTTATATACTATCATGGCTATTTGATATGAAATGATGAAGATCACAGAATAATAATTAACGCTCTTTAAATCCCCATTTACAAGAATGACAACAGTAGCAGGTAGAAACATAGTAGAAATTCACGGAAAATTATGCAGTGTTTAATAAAGGAGAAAATAAATGGGTCAACCACAACCATGATATGCATAGCCTTACCTCCAATCCTCATGCCAACCAACACCTCCTTCAGGCCTTTTATAATCTGTGAAATGAAAACAACTACTTGGTTGAAGGTATATCTGAGCTAATTCGAAACTTTTTCAGCAGAATGGAAATCATTTTCCAAAAGCGGAAGCATTTTTTATATTGACAAAATCTTCAATTCATCCTTATGCAGCAAACATGATTGTTAATATAAGCAACTACTGTAAACATTTAAAAGAAGAATACACATGAAAAATAAGATGAGCAACCCTTTGATATAATTTATGACAAGTCACAATTTCCTCAAACTGCCAGAAGCTACAAACGGAGCTTTCAGATTTCAGTATGTTAATCTAAAAAGGAAACATGAACGTACTTGGTTCTCATCCAAAGGGAGTATGACAGGTGAGCTTTCTCCACTAAACTGATCCACAGTGCTGTCACTCAAAACAAAACGAGGTTTCAAAGATGGTCCAGAAAGCAGAGAAGAAGAATGTCATTTAAGCATAGGCAGCACTAATTGTTTGTGGAAACAAGAAATACATCCAATAAATTAGCACCTTTTAAACTACATGATAATGTACAGAGTTACCTGTGAACAAAATATCCATTTGCGCGTCTGCATACATAATTCACTTCAACCAAGTCTCCTTCACGAGCTTCACGTCCTTCCCCTTCGATAACCTCTAGAGATAAAACTCAAATGTTTAGTTTAAAATTAAGAGCCCATGAAGATATTCATAAGCAAATTTTCTCCTGGAAAAAAAAAAGCATTCAAATTTTAGCACTGTAGTAACCACTTGTGATTACATTGACAGTTCATACTCCTTTTAGGTAAGCACTAAAAGATCATCTTGTAATGTTCTTGTAAACCAATATGAGTCCATTCAGAATACATTATTGAAAGATTACCATTTATAACTCCGACAGACCTCCAAGATGGCTAACTATCTCTGGAAACATGCATGGCATACAAGAACATATGGATTTAATGTTAAGGTCCATTAGACCAGAAGAAGGCAAATGCTTTTTAAGACATGATTGCTGACATACCGAAAAGGATGTAACAGGGGTTTAAATAATGGAGGTCTATAGAAAAAGCTTTATAGAAGAGAATAATAAAATTAAAAGTGGTTCATCACTTGGCTGCATCAGAAAGGAATACAGATTTTCACTCATGAAATAACTGCATTGTTATGATATGATGTCGGACATTTTAGATTTAACATAATTGGGGGTTTCAGTTAAAACTAGGAATTCTTAGATACCACATAAAAATTGGAATTTAAGCTTTGATGACTAAAAAAATAATTAAAGAATTAATTAAAAGTCACGTTTAAGGTCCCTTAAGCATCACACATTTAAGGTGGGTGTTCCGAAAATTAGACCAAATTCTGTCATACAATTAGCATCACACAATCATATAGAACAATTTTGTTCTGAAAATTAGACCAAATTCTATTTAGAAATTCTCTATATTTATATCAAATAATGGTTTATCCATAATTAGGACTAGAGAAGTATTTACAGGAGTTTAGTTTAATCCTAATCTAAATATGACTAGTGGATCATAAACTTAAAAGAATTTAAAATATAAATAAAACCATAGACAGGCAAAAGTTCTCATCCTTTTTATTTTTCTTTTTAAATAAAAAGTATGGTATGTATTGTTAATACATAAGCACCAATGAGGTGTCAACCCTATGCAAAAATATTTACATGTTAATTAGGATATCAATACGGTCCCTAAAATCCTCCATAAAATAAAGAGGATGATCCATAAACAAAAAACCAAAGATCTGTAACCATCTATTTGTAACCCTATTAAAATCATTTTCCACTCTTTCAAAAGTTCTCTTATTCTTTTCTTTCCGCACCACTCAAAATATAGCAAGGAAAATAAAACCATATGTTTCTTTCCATTACTAATACCCTTCTAAACCCAAATCTCATCATTTACGCACCAGCCACCACCCAACTAATCCCCAGTAACCCTTATGCCATGGTCCATAACTTATACGCAAACAGGCACCAAAGCAAGAAGTGATTACAAGACTCCCTCTCCCCCTTGCATAGAAAACAATTATTCACCATAATTTTTCCCCTTCTCATTAACTTGTCAATAATAAGAATATACTTATGCCCTGCTCCCATGCGAAGAAAGCAACTCCCAGTGAAGCATTCACCTTCTAAATTTGTTAGAAAGCAAAATTGGTCTCTATGGTATCATTCTTAACCAAACAATTAAAGAAAGACCTAACCGAAAAGGTCCCCATGATATTCAGGCTCTAGACTGGTAGGTCATTACTCCCATTTGTTGAAGCAACTGAGAATGTACTTAGGAGAGACTCATACTCATTAATTTTCTAATCATTGAGGTTTCTCATCACATCCACATATCACTCCCTTTGCTCCTCAATATCTCTAAGTAACTCATGGACCATGAATATCCTTGTGCTGCGCAACAACGAAAATACAGAAAAACTAATCTCTAAGAGCTCCCCCTCTAAGCCAAGGGTCCTTTCAAAAACTAATTTTGTCCATGTTGAGTTTGTTATTTGATTTAGTCAAGTTTGTTAATAAGTCCTATTCTATAGGAAGTAGTTTCGTATTTTGTTCTAATCTATTAGCTATCTTATTGGGTTGTTAGTAAGTTAACGTTTAAAAGTTCATTTCTGTGTAACAAGGCTATATAAAGGCCTGTAGTTTCCTTTAATATAACAACTTTTACAAATCATATGAGTGTTTCTTTACATTTGGTATCAGAGCCATATAACAGGGCCTGATTGTGAGTGTTTGTGTGAATAGAAAAACTGCAGATTTTTCTATTGAGTAAATAGAG